TGAATTGTTTTATTTTTTTGTTATGCTTTAATATTTAACACTTGAAAAATTTCAGATATTGTAGCCAATTAAATGTTAAATAGTAAAATTTAAACATTACTTATTTTTAAATAAATATTTTAATTGACCGTATGTGTAAATTAATATCATAAAAATTTTTAATTATCAACATTTTATATTAAATATTATAATTTATTTTAATATAATATTAATTAATATGTTAAAACGGAATATAGATATATATATTACTTATACTTATAAATTACCTATAAACAAGAAATTCGCCCATCTGGTGAATAGCATCTCGATAAGATTGTTGGAATGCACTTAGATCTCTTAGAGAAGTGCCCATTGCAGTTTCTGCAAACGCATTTGTGAATGTCACGATAATGTTACGATACACATATATTCTAAGAATATATATGTTTATGTGTAAAAAACATATTGAACAGTGTAATGTTATAGCAAAATTTTAATTAAAAAACTGCATTCTATTTTTTATTATTTGTTGATAGAAATAAAATTCCATGTAGTTATACGATACAATACCACATATTGCATTCAGCGCATGTTCACTAACAAACGATGTTAAATCTTTTACAACTGTGCCTCTCGTATGCTTTAAGGACTTTGTCATTTTTTCGCTCTCTTCAATCAAAATCTCAACAAACTGCTGCAATATATTAAAATGGAATGTGGGAGTTAACAACTTTCGTCGTGAGTGCCACTTGGCGCCTAAAACACAAACACAATGTATGTAATTGTGAAATAATGTTTTAAATTAAACAATACAATCATTCATACTTTTTAAATTAAAAATTAATTTATTATTAAGTTCCGAAATTATTATGTAAACCACAAATAAATAAGATGTAAAAGCGTAGAATGGAAACAACTTTAAGAGAGTAATCTTAAGCTGTTATAAAGAAATAATGTATCAAGTTGAATAAAAAATAAGTTTTATTATTATTAAGGAGAAATAATACAAAATATTACAACTCTTAATATAATTTGGTAGAAAAAAAAATTTTTGTAATTAAAAAGAAACTTGGAGTGGTAGGAGATCGGAAGAGCACACGTC